CAACCACACAAACACAACTTCCTGAACAAACAAACGCAATAAATACAAGTAACGCAACACGCACTACAAAGACGCCCTCACCCAATAAAGTTACACGGCCTAGCACAGCTAAAAAACACAAAACTCCTTCTTCTCATAAACACACCACGTTATCACAACCCACTCGTATTCAACCCAAACGCAAAGCCAAAGAAACACTTACACAATAAACTCCATTTAATAAAATTACAGGAATTATTATAATGATTTTTTTGTTTGTTTTGTTTTCCTCTTTCCTGATAGCGTTGGCTATTGTGCCCATCAATAGCTATGTTGGTAAGTATGAAATACATACCATAGGACCCTACATAACTTCACCAGACACAGACACAGACACTAATCGTTACTTGATTTTAATCCGTGCGATTAGTTAACCAGGCTAGACCTGAGTTCTCACAAGAAACACCGACAATAATAATAATAATAATAATAATAATAATAATAAGGCAAAACATTATTGTAGTGGTTAATAAATAACAAAGATTGCTAAACTAAATTTATTTTACAGCCGTCGATATTATAGAAGAAACATGGAGAAATAAAAATCCAGGATCATCAGTACTACCAATAGCGAGCAGGCGCAGTAAACGTTCAATATTAAATCCTACGATACCATTGTGTAAAAAAGTAATGCTCTTAAAAAACGGTTTTGTACAGCGTGGACGTTCACAAACATTGCAAACATTTAATACTTGTGCATTTGATAGTATATTCCACGTTTATTACGCATTATTCGTAGATTACGAACATGTTAGGAACGCTATCGATAAGCTTAAGGGAGAATCCTTGTTTGCGGAAATGCTTTCAGATACGGTCAACAAAATACCAACAAAAAAATTAGTGAGTAACTTATATATCAAACGGAATAAATTATTAGTATTAATGAACAAAAATAGACTAATTTCGTTTGATAATGGCTTTTCGTCTTTAGATTGTAACAGCAATATCACGTTTACCATTGAACATGTTTTACATAAGGGTTTATACAGTTACATGCGACAAAAAGTTTGTTCAAAATGCACGCACCAGTATAGTTCCCATAGAATATTCTTAGACATAAATCAACAGTTGCTGATGTCAATGGGACTAGCAAGGCTGAACGATCTATTAAATATTGAACTTAATACGGAAGAAACAAATTCTAAGTGCCCATGTGGAGATGCCATGCATGTAAGTGATACCACATTTTCAAACATTGTTTTGATAGATCTTCAATGTTTTGGAAATTCTATGAAAGCTAGTATTAAGGACATCCCTGACAATCTCTCTTTATTAGAAGAAACATTTGTACTCTCAGCATGTATTCAATATATTGGAGAAGAGGACGATAATGATAAAAAATCCGTTGGTCATTATATCTGTCATGTTAAACGAATAAATAATGTTTGGGAAACATATGATGATCTCAAACTAAATATTTTAAACGCTGAGATTAGTAAGCCAAAATTAATATGTGTAGTAGTATTTATAAAAGAGTTATAATATTTATTTTTCCAATTTCTTCTGCATTTTTTAACTTCTTATTTGGAATGTTTTGTTGATTTTTTTTTATAGAAATATACGATTTATAATTAGAATTTTTCAATCAACGTGATGGCGGATCCTCAACTAGTAAAATCCGGCATAATTATTTTTTAAACATTTGCATATGAAAGATACGAGGGCTGTTTTTTTTTCAAGTTCAGGTGGTCCATTATTAAGAGACAAGTGTAAATAAACCAAATGTATTTACTAGCAAAAATTAACTTCAAGTATAATTATTTTTCAACGTAACCACCATGAAGATTGAGGGGATTTGTCATGCCCATGGATAAGCTTTTCTATACTCTCTGCATAGAATGTTGTCGCCAGTGAGTTAAGGTGGCCAATAATGTCGTTTAGAAGATCTTTGCATTAGTCTCGAACCTCTGCTCTCCCAGCCACTTCTTCAGTTCAAAGAAGAGGTGGGAATCACTTGGCACTAAATTGGGGCTGTACGGCGAATGTTCAAAAAGTTTCCATATCAAAATGGATGAACTTTCTGGGTTACGTGAGCACTGTGAGGACGCACATTGCCATGGATCAAAAATACTCCAGAAGTAAGCATTCCTCTACTTTTGTTTTGGATGGCTCCTAGACTCATTTGTCGTTGAATTTCAACTGAACTATTCCCTTTTGCATGAACAAATCGATTCATACTACGCAATTCATATTTGGCGGGAGAGGCAATTGTACCGGCCATGTTTTATGCCAATAACTCGGCTCACATTGGCGTAATGGAGTTGGCTATGGGGGAGGTTAGAGTAGGATACATGTGCAGCCACCCTCCATCCATAACTATTTCCTACCACGTGTTCGTTTGTTTACGTGCACGATAGGAAGTTGAAAAAAAAACAGCCCTCGTAGTTTCAAATTTATATTACACTCCTTAAGGCCGATTTTACAAAACATCTATTCCCAGAATAACTTTATTGTAGGAATAATTGTCATGGGAACCTAATTCCAATTGGTTGAGACAACGGTAACCGTGGAGACTATTCCTAGATTAGCATTAGGTATAATACTGCGAATAACTGTAATTGTAAAACCGGCCCTTAATCATAAGCTGCTCCAACGTCACTTCGGCCTCCGTAGGCACTTAAATAGGTGGCGGTGGCGAAACTGATATAATTAAGAAGTCCATTGCGCATGCACTACAAATACAAACTGTAATGCTACCTCCACACTCTCGCCGAGGGTACGCGAGACTATGCGAGAGCGAGAGTGTAAGTAGCGCGCTCGTCTCGTCTCGCCCTTCCTTGGCTTTACTCGCATGCTCTCCATTTCTTGTCGGATTTTCTAATCAAAGAAAACGAGGCGCGAGGCGAGCGCATTGGTGTTATTCCGTATTAAAACGTATTGAGCCAGAGAAAACGACGAGAGCTATCGGCGAGAGTGTGGAGGTTCTCGCTGTACCTCGTCTCGCGAAATGTCTCGCCGAGACATTCGTCGAGAGCTCTCGGCGAGAGTGTGGAGGTAGCATAACGGTTTTAAGTTATTACAGCAATTATTATTCTAGTTTTCCGCTTTATTTCGAAAATCAATTTAAGGTAACCAGGGTTTCATAATAGATATAGGACGTTTTTGACAAGTCTTCTAATTAAAGAAAGTCACTAGAAGAACAATCTACAATTTTCCAATTAATCCCTAATTAAATATACATAAAACCAACAGAACAAAGAACTATTTAAATACGTAAGTGGATAGCTTTTTGAAAATTAGACTAGAAACATGCTTAATGATTATTTCAGAACTGTCCATGGGGATTCATTAATCATATTTACCTATCTTAGTATATTGAAGTTAATTAATTTAATTAAACCCAATGTAATATTTGTAAGTTCAAGTTAAAGTAAAAACCAAATTGTAAATTAAACCAATGGCAGGGTTTTAGTTTATTGGATAACATCTTGTCACCGTATCAGGATAGTTCTTACTTAAAAAGCTTGTAGAGTAACACTGAAAAGAAAATCCCAATTTAAATTACCGTTAATAATCCACAGAAGTCCATACGTATATTTGGTTCTTCTAAGCGAAGGATAAAATAGTTCTCCAGGGAATTGTGAGAGGTAGCAGCAAATAAAATATGTTCATGGGTCCTACAATAAATGTTTCGAGTATGAGCCGTCGCTTTCCTATGTGCAGGGCTGGAAAATCGGCACTTCCAGCCCCTCCAGGAAATGGTAAGGGGTAGCAACTTACAAAATGCATTTATGGAACCTACCCTCTTGGTAGGTAAAGGTACAACCAATACTTTAAGTATGGGCAGTCTCTTTTCTATGTAGGGGCTGGAAAATCGGCACTTCCAGCCCCTCCAGGAAATGGTAAGGGGTAGCAACTTACAAAATGCATTTATGGAACCTACCCTCTTGGTAGGAAAAGGTACAACCAATACTTTAAGTATGGGCAGTCTCTTTTCTATGTAGGGGCTGGAAAATCGGCACTTCCAGCCCCTCCAGGAAATGGTAAGGGGTAGCAACTTACAAAATGCATTTATGGAACCTACCCTCTTGGTAGGTAAAGGTACAACCAATACTTTAAGTATGGGCAGTCTCTTTTCTATGTAGGGGCTGGAAAATCGGCACTTCCAGCCCCTCCAGGAAATGGTAAGGGGTAGCAACTTACAAAATGCATTTATGGAACCTACCCTCTTGGTAGGTAAAGGTACAACCAATACTTTAAGTATGGGCAGTCTCTTTTCTATGTAGGGGCTGGAAAATCGGCACTTCCAGCCCCTCCAGGAAATGGTAAGGGGTAGCAACTTACAAAATGCATTTATGGAACCTACCCTCTTGGTAGGTAAAGGTACAACCAATACTTTAAGTATGGGCAGTCTCTTTTCTATGTAGGGGCTGGAAAATCGGCACTTCCAGCCCCTCCAGGAAATGGTAAGGGGTAGCAACTTACAAAATGCATTTATGGAACCTACCCTCTTGGTAGGTAAAGGTACATCCAATACTTTAAGTATGGGCGGTCTCTTTCCTATGTAGGGGCTGGAAAGACGGCTCCGCTGGCCCCTACACGATATTTTTCTAACAACAATAGGTACAGAAATATGAACTACATATTTATAAAGTACATAATTAGTACTAAATGGTAGTTGTGTACGGGCTTGTAGGGGCTATCGTGTAGGGGCTGGCTTCACGGGCGCTATAAAACCGGATGTTTTAATTTTTGTGGAAAAGAATTCCATAAGATACTTGAGGGAAATAGCGGCCGAATTTAATATCCCTTCATCATAACCTAAAAGTTTTTATTAAAATCGACTAGAATGACAATGCAAAATGCGTGCGCATGTTATTTCGGTTGCATAAAATTAGGCGTCTTTCGGAAGGATTTTTGTCATTTAAAACTTAGACATAGGAAATGCCTATATCTACTTCTAAATGAATAGCACTGTATATTATGGTGGGTTTATGCAACGTTATTTAACTTAACTTTAATTTAATTTACTAGTTGAACCTACAATTTCATGTGACTCTGTTTATGCACGTATTTAACTTAACTTAACAACTTAATTTAATTTAAGAGTTCGTCAACTTTTATCTCTTAAGATAAATTTTTAGGTGAAAATCGTAGTGCGCATACGCGTACTGATTCGTAAATGCGATTCATACCGAGAATTTAAATAATGTTCCCGCGCCGCTAAATTTAAATACTGGCGTTTACCGCGTTTTTATTTTGTTTAGTATATTTTGCGTGACCTTCAAAGCAGAGGGTAGGTATTATATATTTGCAGACACCATAAAATGTGCACTTGTTATTTTTCCAACATTTGGCTAATAGACATGGAGGACGCCACTTTAATTGAACTTGTAGAACAATTTGAAGTGTTGTACAACAGGCGGCATAAAGACTTTAAAAATAAGCTGGTGAGGGAGAATGCCTGGAAATCCATCGCGGCGATATTTAATGATACACGTAAGTACAATCATTGAACCTTTTCCATTTATTTAATTTATTGTATTTAACAGCCGAGAATGTCGAAAACAGATGGAATAGTTTGCGTAACCGATATGCAGCAGAATTGCGGAAGACAAAAACAATTCCATCTGGTTCGGGGGCTCAAACAGTGTGGATACACATGTCTGCAATGAATTTCATAAACGCACACATAGTGCCACGAAGGAGCACTGTTTCCAATGTGAAAGCGACATGCTCTGGAACCATTTCCGGTACGGAAACAGGCCCATCGTGTTCCAGAGCATCAAATGTCTGGGACACGATGAGTGTATTAACGGAAAAGTCAGAGGACGAGGGGGCCGAATCAGGTGTGTCAGAGTCGTCGGTGTATTCGACACAGGATGATCCACCGGCTGATGAACTGGCTACCCAGGTTACCGAACCTGTAGCTGTTTCACATAAACGCAAAGCTGGCCAGCTACGACAAAGGGTGTCAAAAAAAGTACACAGTGATGTGGATGATATCCTCGTAGAGACCATACAAAAAGCAAATGTCATATTAGATACTCAAAAAAGTGAAGAGGAGTTATTTTGTGAAAGCCTTGCAAAATCTTTACAACAAATTCAATGTCCACGAAAGAAAATGAGAGCAAAAATTGAAATTATGCAGGTGGTGGAACAATACTTATAAGAATTTACAATGTTAAGATATTTAGTTAATATATAAGTAGCTTTAAGAATAACTTAAGTTTTGTTAATTGTTACTTTTTTTGTATCTTTTCTGTCTACCTTTTTATAAATAAAAACATAATATTCAACAAAAATTTTAATGAGCTTATTCTAGTGAATAATAATAAGATACGCCTTGAAACTGTCAAGGTTGTCAGTTCATGTACATAAAGTTTGGAGATTAATTGGTAAAGAATGATGAGAAGAAATGAAACAAATAAATAGTTTGAAATGGCGGAGTAGAAAATTTGTAGTGAATACATTCTGTAGTTAAATTTCTAGTTTAGATATTTTTGGCATTGAGTATCATACGAATATATATATATATATATATATATATATATATATATATATATTGTTGTGTTATTTTGTTTTAGTTGTAACTTGAAAGAAATTATAGAGCGTCTGGATGTGACAATTTTGTTTAGTTCAATTAATTAACCGGGGGGGGTTATTAATAATTTGAGACACAGGATTGCGTAAATTTCATGTTATAGTTTTGGTTCAATTTCTTAGAAGTGTTCTGTTTTTATTTTATTCCTAGAATTTTTTTCGATGTAAATTTCTTTTTAAATTTTATTTGCCGTTAACGAGGTATAGCGCGAAGTAGAGATAAGGTTCTTCGCAGAATTGCCGGGCGTACGTGCCGTTTAGCAAGAAGTTGAAAAATCGACGCTTCGCGTGATTGGCGGACGGGATGTTGAAGAAAGGAGAAGGGCTTTTGGCTTAAATAGAAAATTTTGGAAGAGAGCGGGGCTTTTTGGTCGTTACAAAGCCAACCGGCGCTTCTTCGGTTACGTTATTTTTGAATTTTGTGGAAGTTTTCCTGCGTAGTTGGATCCAGGTTTAATTAGAATTTTGTGTCTGCCGTTTTAAGAAGAATTATTGAGAAGTTTAAGAAGTTTGTTCGCCGTCCTGTTTGTTTTATTTTGCGGAAACACGGAAGTTTTGAATTTGTGGGTACCCGAAGAGAGAAGACGTCGGTGTTTGAGTGTTTGGTTTGCGTGATTGTTTACGGATACCTCTCTTTTTATCGGAATACGTTATTCGGACTAATTTTAAAAGTAAGTAGTAGTTAGTGTTTTGTTTTGTCTTGTTTTTTTTGTAATGTTTGAGTAATTTGTTTTTTTTTGTGTGTCATTTATCTGTTTAAAATTGTAACAATTTGTAAAACAGAAATTTACGCAATTTTTTGTTTGAAATTAAACCAGTTATTGCAATCCAGGTTTTGTTATTTAGAGTCAAGGAGAGGTAATTGTCGGCGTCTCTTACTTTGTTTCAAGTTGATTAAATCTGGGGGTAAAGTTTCATATTGGAATTTAAGGATTTGGTTAAGCCACCTATTTATGTCATTGTTGGAATGCTGTAGGGTGGCAGAATCCAGCTGGACCTTGAGATGCGGATAAAAATTTTGTTTTCATTTTAATTAAAACTGAGCTAGTTAGAGGGAAATCGTGGGATTCCCAGAAGTGTAGGTTAGGTCTCACAACAATAATTTGGCGCCCAAAAACGTGGGGCTTCAGGAAAACGCGATTAATTGTTGCATTAAGGGGTGAAAAGCGAGGTAAAAAGTTAGTGAGATTTTGTTGTGCACGGGTAGAAATTTGTTTGGTATCCGTCACGATAATTTTGGGGAGTAGGAAGGCATTTGATTTGAAGGGGTATTGACAGGTTGAAGATAGGGTAGGTAGTGAGTTAGGTGTAGGGTGTTTTGTTACAGAATAGGGTGGAGAAAAATAATCAAGAAATTATGGAGGAGAAGACTGAAAGTGGGATCGAGATCCCGACCGAAGTAAGCGCAGATGTGATACCCGGCTCGATTGACGTGCCGGAGGACAGAGGAGAAGTGTCGACAATGGGGGTAACCACGATGCAACAAGATGTGCTGGCCCGACTCTTTGAAGCAATACAGAATCAGAGTACAGAAATGGCTGCGATGAGTGCAAAAATGGATTCGATGAAAACGGAAATGAGTACAGAAATGGCTGCGCAGAAAGCGGATATAATTTCGCAGACGGCGGGGATGATGGCAAATGTAAATGCGCAGTTAGATGGGATGAAACAAAGGATGGATGAATTAGCGACGAAGGAAGATTTGCACAAAGTAGATGAAAAAATAGAAGCAGTAGAGCGAAGGCAGGAAAAGAAAATTAATGAAGTTAGACAGGATTTGCAAGAGCAGGCGAGGGTATATTGCATTAAATGGGAAGAAATAAACGAGAGGGTGGAGACACGACGGAGATTGGTGGATAGCAAGATAGGGGACCTAGAGGATCGTATGAATGCAGAAGAAAGTTTTACGGCAGATGAGGTACGAAGGATAGAGGGGAAAATTAGACACGAAGCTGAGAATCTCAAAGTAGCGGGCGAAGTTCAAACGACGCTATTGAGACAAAGGATAGATGAAAAGGATAAAGAAATTGCGGATATAAAGCAGGAGATGCGGAAGCAGCCTGCACAGATGGGAATTAATTATTTTTCAGGCTGGAAAGCAGATTATGAGAGGATTGAAAAATTCAACGGCAGCGGGAAGACGCACCCAATGATTTTCTTGAAGTTATTAGGAACTACGATAATAAACAATCGACGCGTATACGGAAGACAATTTACACAGGCGGATGAATTAAATTTAATCAGGGGAGTATTGAAAGACGAGGCGCAAATGTGGTATGATACAGTAGATGAAAAAGTGGTAAATTTTGAAACATTTAAAGAGCAATTTTGTAAACAATACTGGGGAGATTGGGAACAAGGTAAAATTTTAGATGAGTTAAATGTAGGGAAATTTAATCGGAATTTCGGGAATCGGGTAAAGTATTTGATAGAAAAGTATGCAAAATTTAAGTATTTAGATAGCGGATTACAGGAGTCCACCTTAGTACGACGATTATCGAGGCATTTCGAGGATGAGATCGCTGAGAAAGTTATAAAAGACAATGTTGAGAGTTATGACGAATTCTTGCGAATATTAAAAAGATTTGACACGAGGGATGAAGAAAGAGAAAGAAATTATGATCGGAAGGTCCGGGAGCAAGGCAGGCAGTATGCGAGAGAAGGAAACGGAGACCAGTACCGAGGAAATAGAAGATATGGCGAATATGCGGATAATGGAGGTAGAACTACGTACCAACAACGAGAAAGGAATTACGGCGGTAATAATTACCGTGGGAATTACGGGGGAAACAGAGAAGTAAATTACAGACGAATGGAGCAGGAGTACCATAAAGAACCAAGAGAAAACCGAAATAATTACGCAGACAGGCGGACAGAGCAGGTCAGAGAGAGGGAGAACATAAGATCAATGCCACAGCAGCGACAAGTGAATCAAATTTTACAACCGAACCGGGGTAAAGAGGAGGAGAATAAGATAGAAGTAGTTCAGGCGGAAGTCCATCGAACTGAAGCGGATTTTTAAGTAACCGTACTATGATCCAAAATGTCTACATGCACCCCAAAGAATTTATAGAACTGGAGGAGCATAGTACGGATTTTAATTATGATGAGCAAATTGTAACACAGTTACCAAGGATCAAGATCCAAGTAGAAGGAAAACCAGCAATAGCATTAATTGATACGGGTGCCGAGGTGTCGTTAATGGCCGAGAAATTTATAAAGGAACAGTTAGGGAGAATAGAACGGTATACGGTAGGGATTAAAGGGGTGAATTTAGCGTCGGCTAATCAGGCAAAATTTGCGTGTGTCAAAAGAAAATTCATTTTAGGAATCACAGTAGGGAATAGGAAGATCGAGCGGTCATTTTTAGTGTTAAATGGGATGAGCATTGATTGTATTATAGGGATGGACATTTTGTCGGAATATAAAGGGGTGGTTGATTTGGAAAAAGGGATATTTAAGATGGAGGACGTTGAGATTAAGTTAATGGAAGAAGGGCCGATAATAAGCAATAGGATTTTAAATTGTCAATTACATAAGATAGAAAGCGAAAGGGGGAAGGAAATTAGTACGGCAGTTCACTGTCATATGGATTATAAAAATGCAGTCATTCAACTATTAGAAGAAAATAAAGAATTGATAAATGAAGAAGTAAGGATGGCGACTGGGTATCAACATCGGTTGCAGGTAGATGAAACAAGGATGTACAAGACGCAAACGTATTCGGTACCTTATCATTACCGACAGGAGGTAAAACAAGTAATTAAGAAAATGTTGAGCGAAGGAATCATTGAACGTGCAAGTACAAATGTAATTAATCCTCTTGTAGTAGTAAAAAAAAAAGATGGGACAATTCGTCTGTGTTTGGATGCGAGGGAGTTGAATAAGAGGACTGAACCACAGTTTGAGTCACCGCAGAGGATAGAATCATTGATTGGGAGAATAGGACGAAATAAGTTATACACGAAGTTGGACCTGAAGAATTCATTTTGGCTAATACCGCTGGAAGCAGGATCAAGGAAGTTTACAGGATTTAGTGTTGATGGGAGTACGTACCAATTTAAAGTAGTACCTTTCGGATTAGCGAGTTCTTGCGCCGCTTTAGTCAGGGCTATGCAAGAAATTTTAGATAAATACGACTCGTTTTGTTTACATTATGTCGACGACATAATTATTTTTAGTAATACAGTAGAACAGCACAAGAAGCATTTAGAAATTATTTTGCGAACGTTAAATGAAAACGGGATGAAGTTGCATCTGGACAAATGTGAATTTTTCGCGAGAAATGTGAAATTTCTGGGGTTTGAGATAAATCAAAGGGGGAGTACGGTAGAAAGAAGTAGGTTAGAAGAGATAGGAAATTTCCCACGGCCGAATAATTTGAAGAAATTGAGGGGATTTCTCGGGCTGATGAATTATTATAGAAAATTTATACCGGAATTTTCAGGGTTATCGCTTTCGTTGGTGCAGTTATTACGAAAGGGGGAGAGATTTGTTTGGGACGACGAAAAAGAAGCAGCTTTTGTAAATTTAAAGAAAGCGTTATTAAACGGGATTGAATTATTTCATCCAGATTGGACGAAGGATTTTGTATTAAGGACGGATGCATCGGATCAAGCTGTAGCTGGGGTTTTAAGCCAGATCCAGGAAGGAGAGGACGTGCCTATTTGTTTTTTGTCGAGAGTATTGAGGGGACCGGAAGTTAGATATTCAATAGCGGAGAAAGAAATGTTGGCTATTATTTACTGTATAACTAAGTTGAAATTTTATTTAATAGGAAAAAAATTTACGATAGAGACAGACCATCGAGCGTTAACGCATCTGATGTCGACAAAATTTGCTAATAATCGCATTTATAGGTGGAGTTTGATACTACAGGAATTTACTTTTGAAATTAAGTACATCACAGGAAAAGACAATGTTGTGGCGGATATTTTATCTAGGAAAGGTTTGGAGAAAAGGGATTTGAAGACCGTAGAAATTTTGGTGAATAGAATGAAGAACACAGAAGAAATGTTTACTGTAGATAGGATAAGGGAAGATCAATCATCGGAAGAATTTATTAATTTGAGAAGGAAAATAAACGAGAAGGAAACGTACAAAGGGTGTTGTATAGATCGGACCGGGGTGATAATTAAGAAAATTGGGGAACAAGAGTTGTATGTAGTTACGAATGAATTTTATAATGAAATGTCTTCATACTTTCATATTGCGTATGGACATGCGGGGGTTAGGAAGATTTGGTTATTAATGCGCGAAAATTTTTATAGTAAGAGAGATTTAACAGTAGTTAAAGAAATGGTAAATAAATGTCATTTGTGTTGTTTGGGAAAATATAAAAATTTTGTAAATTATAATGAAATAAAAAGTATACGGACTAGAGAACCTTTGGAAATAGTAGCGATAGATTATTTGAGTAATTTGGTGAAAAGCGGGAGGGATAAGCACATTTTGGTGATGGTAGATTTATTTAGTCGTTTTACAAAATTATATGCGGTGTCAGCGTGCAACACCGAGAAAACAGTAGTTTTGATAGACAAATTTATTCAGGAGGTGGGTAAACCAAAAAAAATTTTAGCAGATAATGCAACGTACTTTAATAATGACAGATTTAGGGGGTATCTAGGAGAAAGGGAGATTAATTTAGGATTTTGTTCAATAAGACATCCGCAGGGAAATCCTTCGGAGAGGTTTATACAGGAAGTTATTAAGTATTTGAGAATGAGTTTGTTTAATGAACCTCATAAAAATTGGGGACGTTATGTAAAGCAAGTAGAAAGGTTTATTAATGAAACACCTTCAACAGTGACAGAGCAACCTCCGGTGTATGTTATGTTTGGGGTATATCCGGATAGACCGTGGGAGTTTAAGGGGGATGAGGAGGAACAATTTGAAAATCAGTTAGCAAAGATACGGGAAAAGGTTAGAAAAAAACAGGACAATTGGGTAAGAAAACAAAATGAGAAAGTCAAGAAAAAGGTTAAGTTTGAGATAGGAGATTTAGTTATTTTAAGAAAATTGAGGTTGGCTGATGGCCCGAAACAGATTAGTGCAAAATTATTGTTACCTTACGAGGGTCCTTACGTGATAAATAGGGGGTTTGGGGATAGTTACGAATTGAGGTTCAGGGAGTCAGATAGGATTAGGGGTAGATTTCATGTGAACATGTTGTACCGTTATGATGAGACCTCTGAGGAGGTGGGTTGAGATTGTTTAATGTTATTTTTTTTTGTATTTGTGTTATGTGTAAAATTTACTAGTTAGGGATGATAGGGATTCCCAAGCCAGGGTGAGCGCGGCGCCTTTTTGAGTCTGGACAGGGTGGCTCGAAATGTAGTCTTCAGTTGGTAAATTGAAAAAAAAACCCTGTAATTCCAATATTTTGTTTTGTTTTCATAGTCAGGGGAGGATTGTAATTTTGTGTTTTTGTGTTCAATTTAAAGGGGGAAAATGTTGTGTTATTTTGTTTTAGTTGTAACTTGAAAGAAATTATAGAGCGTCTGGATGTGACAATTTTGTTTAGTTCAATTAATTAACCGGGGGGGTTATTAATAATTTGAGACACAGGATTGCGTAAATTTCATGTTATAGTTTTGGTTCAATTTCTTAGAAGTGTTCTGTTTTTATTTTATTCCTAGAATTTTTTTTCGATGTAAATTTCTTTTTAAATTTTATTTGCCGTTAACGAGGTATAGCGCGAAGTAGAGATAAGGTTCTTCGCAGAATTGCCGGGCGTACGTGCCGTTTAGCAAGAAGTTGAAAAATCGACGCTTCGCGTGATTGGCGGACGGGATGTTGAAGAAAGGAGAAGGGCTCTTGGCTTAAATAGAAAATTTTGGAAGAGAGCGGGGCTTTTTGGTCGTTACAAAGCCAACCGGCGCTTCTTCGGTTACGTTATTTTTGAATTTTGTGGAAGTTTTCCTGCGTAGTTGGATCCAGGTTTAATTAGAATTTTGTGTCTGCCGTTTTAAGAAGAATTATTGAGAAGTTTAAGAAGTTTGTTCGCCGTCCTGTTTGTTTTATTTTGCGGAAACACGGAAGTTTTGAATTTGTGGGTACCCGAAGAGAGAAGACGTCGGTGTTTGAGTGTTTGGTTTGCGTGATTGTTTACGGATACCTCTCTTTTTATCGGAATACGTTATTCGGACTAATTTTAAAAGTAAGTAGTAGTTAGTGTTTTGTTTTGTCTTGTTTTTTTTTGTAATGTTTGAGTAATTTGTTTTTTTTTGTGTGTCATTTATCTGTTTAAAATTGTAACAATTTGTAAAACAGAAATTTACGCAATTTTTTGTTTGAAATTAAACCAGTTATTGCAATCCAGGTTTTGTTATTTAGAGTCAAGGAGAGGTAATTGTCGGCGTCTCTTACTTTGTTTCAAGTTGATTAAATCTGGGGGTAAAGTTTCATATTGGAATTTAAGGATTTGGTTAAGCCACCTATTTATGTCATTGTTGGAATGCTGTAGGGTGCCAGAATCCAGCTGGACCTTGAGATGCGGATAAAAATTTTGTTTTCATTTTAATTAAAACTGAGCTAGTTAGAGGGAAATCGTGGGATTCCCAGAAGTGTAGGTTAGGTCTCACAACAATATATATAGAATATAAAACCTACATAATAATAAAATAGTGAATATAAAACCTACATAATTATAACTATCCCATAAAATTAACTACATATAAAAAATTTTGGTTTATGGTAGCGAACCACGTAATATGTGATTCCATTGCCATGGAACTGCACCAGCATCAGAAACAAAATACTGTGCCAACAAATTCCTATTTTGTTGCACATTGACTGATGCAACATTAGCTCCAATACGGCCCGCAGATTGCAGTTGGAATGGATCTTGGCGCCACATTCCTGGTGTAACATCACCATCTTTCTCCTGGTCTGCTAATCCAGTTGGGCAATATCGTTGCTTGTGCACCGGCAAGTCAGATTCTTCTGCTTGTAGATAATTGTGCAGTACCACAACTGCTTGCACAATTTTTGTACAAGTAGATATATCACCCACTATAGGCTTTCTAAGGATCCTCCACCTTTGAACCAAAATTCCAAAGGTATTTTCGATTGTCCTTCTAGCTCTCGAAAGCCTATAATTAAAAATATTTTTTTCTTCTCCTAGTCTTTGCCCAGGATATGGACGCATTATACGTTTATGCAACGGGAAGGCTTTGATCAGCCACGAGAAAATATGGCAGGACAATGTTCGAGTTCGGTAACACCTTTGCCTGTGGCAATCGATCTTCGAATTCATTGCTTAAAAAGGCCCTACCGAAGTTAGATTGTCTGAAAATGTAGCTGTCATGCAATGATCCTGGAGCCGCAATATCCACATATATAAATTTATAATACGAATCACAAGCCGCCATCAATACCAAACTGAAAAAAAAGTTTAGTCATCAACATCTTAATATATGTATATTGAGTATATTTACCTAAAGCTTTTCTTATAAGAAAAATATTCCGAGCCAGAGTGATAAGGTGCTTGGATGGAAACATGCTTTCCATCCAAAGCACCTAAGCAATTCGGCATATTCCAACGCCTATAAAATCCTTTACTGACTTCAACCATTCTTTCAATAGTAGGCTCAGGAATGTATATGTCCTTCAGCACATCCCATAAAACAGTACAGATCTCCCTGATAATTACATGTGCTGTGGCCTTTCCTATGTAATAATTGCGTGAAATTTCTTTCATTGAGCACCCCTCTGCTAAATAGCTACAGACACAAAAGATGTGTGGTAAATTGCAGCTGCTTCTTTATCGAGATACTTACTGTAAAGTAAGGCATAAACGAAATGATGGGCACAATGCATTCTTCCTACTTGGATGCTTACGGACCTTAGGTTCTACTAGCATTAAGAGATGGTCAAACATAGCAGGGGTCATCCTCGTATAGGAAAAGAATTCTTTTTCGTCATTGGTTTTGATATACTTCACCATCGTCTCATACTGTCCGTGCAATTTCCGCAGTTTGTTAAACGGTCTAACACCATACCGACGAATTCTTGTTCGGTATCTCCTTTTGCGGGCAATTGCAACCAACATTAAACTTAAAACAACTATCATACGCAACCGTGACATATTTGGTTGTTGCACAAGTTACAAGTATGAACAAAACTTATTCTGTGCAAAAAGCAAGGTTATGTTTTATTTATTTACTAAATTAAGTGTACCAACTCCTCGTTGATACCAACGTTCATACAACAAAGTTACTAAATAATTAAGTAACTTAAAATAGCTGCATAAACCGTCGTCAGATAAAATAAGTTAAATTAAAGTTAAGTTAAATAACGTTGCATAAACCCACCATTAGTCCCTCACGTTCAAAGTACAAAAAAATAGGCGTGGTAAACCTAGGATTTATATCGATACCCGATTAGAAGAGATAGAAAATGAAAAAGAATATCTCTACAAAAAACAGGAAGAACGTAAATTAAAAAAAGTTACCAAACAATTGTTTTCGGTCAGCAGTCAATATCTGAACACAGTAAGCAAACGTAAACGTCAACGCGCTACGTCCTCGAGTGTTTCTGATACATCAGCGTCTGTAGTTTTGGACTCGGATGATCTTAGTGATGATTTCAGCAAGAATGACTTCCTATTGGTAAAATTTCCAACACAAACGCAAATCAGATACTATGTTGGAAAGGTACCGTAAGAGGTAGATTTTAATGAATATGAAATCAAATTCTTACGTTTATAGCATATGTTAAATTGACATTTTAACAGGTTTGAATGAGTAGGCTAAGCCGTTCTTTAACCGTAAGGGTAGATAAAGTGAAAAAGATGACTGTGAATTCTAATGACATCCGTCATTCTTACTTTAAATGCACGATATAAAATGACGTTCAAAACATACGACAATTCTGGTTCTATGGAAACCATCGCGACAGTAGAACCTAAGCTTGCTATTTTCGACGTCTCTAAATTAAATTCAGAATTATCAGAAACTTTACAATGATTTGTATGGCTTCGGCTATAAAATAAAGTTTTGTATACGCGACGATCAAGGGAAACTAACCATCAAAGAAGTGACAGAACACACTGAAATGTCAAACACAATTTAATGGTTACTATTACAATCTAGATAGCAATTTGATGAAAAATAGAATACAAAAATGTCATCCTTATTCAATTAATCATTAAACTAAAATATATTCAAGAATTGAAGATTACATGTTTTATTGGTTAATAGATATTGAATAACCTCCACTATAAGTATATAAAAACATAACATTGGCGACGAGGATATAAAAAAATAAGTGTTAAGTATAGTAATAAAATGGGCGACTTTGGTTCTGGTAAACGCACCCATTACCCCTTTTGATTAGGAAATCATGGACACAAAAAGAGTTTTACTGTATGCTAGAGAAAAACAAGCAGTTTGTAATTAAGTATTGTATAGAGCGCACAGAAATTGGTCCTGAACTCAACAAATTAAGTATAGTAATAAAATGGGCGACTTTGGTTCTGGTAAACGCACCCATTACCCCTTTTGATTAGGAAATCATGGACACAAAAAGAGTTTTACTGTATGCTAGAGAAAAACAAGCAGTTTGTAATTAAGTATTGTATAGAGCGCACAGAAATTGGTCCTGAACTCAACAAATATAAAATGTTTGAAAAGTCTGCACATCTATTTTCTGTAAGCGTTACTCCTTTATCTTTTCAATTCCCTATCCTAAATTGGTCTTTTATTCCTCCTACCTTAGATCAGTGTTGGCCAAACTCGAGACAGCTTTTGAAAATGTAGAAGTCTTACAGGATGCAAGTAAAGGTGGAAGCAAACCTAATTATAAGGCCGATAATTATTACATGCACTTGCTGAAAAAAAGAATTGCAACGAAATATATACGCGTACATATAAAAGATAAACGACTTATTAGAATACGCTACTAAGGAATTAGATTTTACCCAAGGAAGGACCAGTTTGTACAAAATCATAAAATCCATGGGCTATCGCTACAAAAAGTGCAATGACCGCAAATGTTGTGTGTAACATCATATGTTAAAGCACTGAATCAAATTGATTAAAAAATATCCATAATACCGGGTCCGTAAAGTGAGCAGGACATACAACGACGGATTTAGGTTTAATCGTTATGCTTCGTTTGTGCCGTATATAGTAAGTGCCAGCAGAACCAGTCATACAAAAATTATGGACAATTCAAAATGCTCAGTTGACTTCACGCACGAAATTAAAGCACAAACGACGGGTTTAATCACAATCGGTTGTGCTTCGTTTGTGCCACCATACACACATTTTTTCAACAATTGTGTCCCTAATCTTGAGTATAATATTAATTAAATTTCATTCAATGTATATATTTCTGTCAATTCTTGTTTAACAGCAAAATATGGCTGTGCATGGGGGTGTGTTACGCAAAGCGTCATTGCATATTCACCAAACATAGTTATTAATGTATGTAACTACATGACTAGGAAACTTTCGTACGTAGTGTGTAAGATAGATTTGTGTGGAAATACCTACATCTTACGAGCCATTATTGCATTTCAAGCCGTACCATCTTTAAAAACAAATTACACAAAAGTTGGTCAATGTGTGGGAAATTACATTGCGTACAGCAGAAGGTTGGATGCTACCTGGAAAGCGTATGATGACTTAAAAGGAGATAAAGACAACTCCAATAGGGAAGATACGAGTATAATTGCGTTTTTTGCTGGCTTATTGTAAGTACCCCCATTTGCATTTTCCGTAATTGAATTGTACCTTTTCTTTAGATTCCGCTGTCATGTGTGACAATTTTCCATGAACATTGTTGCCTCATGTCCACCGAGAAGACGAGTGCATTGGGGTAGCGGTTCACAACTGCTGAGATGTGCCGTGCCGTATGAGGTCGTTTTCCCCACCACTCGCTCGAGAAGCATTTATAAAACATAGACGGTTGGAGTTACATAAAGATATCGAGGTGAAGGAAAATATAGCACCACCAGAACATCACACTGAACCTTTATCATGCAACTCTAACTGAGGAACCGGTTATTGCCAAATACATCTAGGCATAGGTACTGACTTTGGATGTGAAGTGCGTGTTAAACCCTACATTCGTAGCCAATATATTCAATGGATACCATCAATGAAAAATGCTATCTGCAGATTGACTGCCGCGTCACTTGCTCAAATGCATTTACGCATAACCGGTCTATCGCTTTCATTTAGACGCTGCAAGTCGAAGCGTCTACAAATCGAATTGCTCGGGAGGCAAAATAATCGCGCGCGTTTAGGAATCGCGAAGGGAAATATGGCCAAAAGAACCAAAGGCAACCGTTTGCGGTTCTCTTTAGGAGGCTTGTTTGACGCAAAAAATAAACATTATAAAGACCAAACGTGGGCAGAAATTGTAGGCAAAAATGGTAAGTACAAAGAATAAAAATACAGTAGGCAGGTTGATTTTGGGTTTTAGTTGAAGAATGCAAAACTCGCTGGAAAAGCTTAAAGGATGTCTATTAGAAAAAGCAAAAAGAAATGAAGCAGGGAACCGGGTCTGCGGCTACAAAAATAAAGGAATGGTAGCACATGGACGCGCTGGCTTTCTTACAAAACATAGAAAGATGTAGGAAAAGTACAACAAACTCTATAAACGAAGAAGCTTTTTCACCTAACCCAAGTATGAGTGATGCAAAGGGTATGGATGATGACACCCTACCAAATGAAAGTACTATAGAGGAGGCTGATGTAGAGGACGGCGATGATGGGATTCGTGACCAGGAAGAGCAGACTCAACGTACGGAGGTAGCAGAAAGTCAAGTAGACGAACAGCGAGACACGGGTAAGATACCAAGCAAAAAGAGAAGGACAACAACTGACAACATTTTGGACACAATTTGCAAAAGAAGTAACGAAAGAAACGCGTTTCTGCAACGAATGGAATCACGATGCAATACTGTAAAGTCACATCCTGTTAAAACATTCTTCGAAAGCATCGCAGAGACAGTTATGACTTTCCCACCAGCACTGATGGTTCGTGCGAAACAGAGAGTATTGGAAATAATATCAGAATTAGAACTGGAAAATTGTGGATCTGCTGTCACATCCGTTTCTGCGACACCAACACCAACATAAGCTCTTTCTGCTAATTCAACTTCAACTTCATCATCTCAATATGAAAATCAGTGGGTTTACGCCACAGAACATGTTTCTCAGCCTATCTATATCTGTGCAGAACTTCTGGAAAATTTTGAACCTCGGCTAGAACCACAGCATAAATTTCAATAAAGAATATAATATGCATCAATAATTTATTATTCATTGTATACAGGAATTGTATTGGTGATAATAAAGAATCTTGACTTATTTGTGTATATTAGCATAGTTAGCTTACATCTGTTCTTGTAACATGTCGTTCTTGCCAAGCTACAGTTCCCACTGGGTATTGAAGTAGTCCTTAAACACGTTTCGGTTTTGGAACGCTGCTGTTGCTGAATTGCCACCCACATTGTTTCGTTTTCATTAATCTTTAGCTCTATTTTGAGCAACATTTTATTTCCTATTTTCCGCTAATTCTCCCACCTCTTATCCCTGCCTGTTGGTACCTAAAAGTGATAAGAAGAATGAGGTGAGAGTGGCAAAGACCAAATAAGACGAGAGACGCGTTTTGGTGACAGCTAAAAGTAGGTGCAATTGAAATTAAATTCGATAATACCGGCCAGTCGCGATTCACTCCGCACTCGTGATATGAAGAAAAGAATAAGGTAAGGAGAACCAGCAAACAGGTAATCCATTTTATGTTTATAATTATTCCCTTCCACAACACACATGTTGCAAATTAATCATGTTTTCTTCTGGCATCCGAATATCAGTGGGGTCTGAGAATAGTGAGAGAGTTCTGGATGAGCGTAATAAATTATGTAAACTGCAGGTGACCAAAATAATCTTGTCTATCCAAATTGGATCAATCGCTATCGGTGCATAATAAATTCGAAATGTCTGACAGAGAATGCCGAAAGCATTTTCTGATGTTCTTCGAGCTCGGCAGATGCGATAATTGAAAATTCGCTTTTCAATATCGACTCTCGCTTGATCTCTAGGGTATGATCTTAAAACACTTTGTGTCAATTGGAAAGCCTCATCACCGATAATAACATGTGGTGCGACAATACCAGTTCCTGGGAGAATCCGTTCTTTTGGTAGAGTTTTGTGTATATGTTGATAGACGGAGGATCTTTGAAATATGCCGCTGTC